GGATTCGGAGTCCCCGGCAATAACAAAGTTTTTGCTTGTATATAAAAATCACATGTATACTATAAAATACAAGGTTCGTAAATACATGTGAATTCTACATACATGCGAAAATTATATTCTTGTTTTTAATTATGTTGTCTCAAATAAAGGCACTGTTTCACTATATACAGTTTTGATGTTCACTGCAGCTACAAACGTTATTATGACGCCTGCTGGAGGAGCACCTTTTCTATTAATGACTAATTGAGTTAGATGTGATTCATGTTTCTTATATTATAATCGAGTTATAGACAAGCACACAATAAATATTTGTATGTTGAATTATTTAGAAAACGCTATACCACTGAAAAAAATTTCATCACAGTTCTTTTCTTATTTATACGTTTTAGCAAACAGACATAATAAATCGTTTCTGTTCGATCTTAATGTTTTTTTACCAATTAAAACAAGATTTCTGTATTATTTATTCTAAGAGTACTCACAATTTAAGCGCCCAAATGTTCATTATTTAATTTTATTTCAATTCAACTGAGGTAAGTATCATTTAATTTTAGATTGACTCGAACTATTTACTAACACTTTTTGTTTATTTTAAACTTTCAAATACAGAACAAATCGAAAAATTGTATTGTAAATCTTTCTTATATTGTGAGCTCATTTTCTTCCCTACTATAGTGTATCCAAACTAATTTTTTTTAAATACCCACCAAAAAACAAGTCACATGATCTATTTTAACCAATTATCTAACGAATAAAAGGCCACCATTACTTTACAAAATATTTTTTCGGGTAGTAATGAGATTGATTGTAATTAATTAATTAACTTACAACCCCTGCATTGTCTATTCTGTAACAAGTTTTTGACTAAACTAGAACTCGAATTAAATATATTTTCGGTTGCCATTGAGTTATAAGTGATGGAAAAAAGCTGTGACTCAAGCTCTATTCAAGTTTTAAATGGTGTAAAAGCCAAGACTTATGGTCAGCTCAAAGTTTTCTTTAGTATACATTTTTGATTAAAATGTAGTTACGTACGTTGAGGGAACTATAATATGGCAAATATTATTATTTATTTTGTCTAGATTATACTCAGAGGACCTTTCAAAGCTTAGTTAGAATGACAAAATTTTCATTGACAGATGAATCAACGTTGAGCTGTTATATAATTTTGTTGTTTATTGTAAATTACGTAACAAGGCTAAGACTAAACTACCCAGCTTTTTAAATAAAATTACTAAAGATAAACGTTGTAGTACGCGCCCCAAAAATATAGTTACTGCCACCCTTTTACAGACAAAGCTAATAGGATTTCAAAGGTTACCTCTCCCCTCCTTTTAAGCTCTAAGGTAACCTAGATTGTAGATTTCATTAACAGATACATCGAAATTAAAACTTACAATAAAGAGTTTGCAGCAGACAAGGATACGATAAATCTTACCTTTTATTCATAGAATACGGCGTAACAAGGTTGGAAAAAAATATGCAAGTATGTAACTTCCCATGAAAAATAATTATAGTTTTCGTCGGATGAATGCCATCGTCTCCAGGGTTATTTTCGGCCCGATGAACGTACGGTGGTAGTGGAGTGATAGCGATTATGTCGTGAATTCTATTTTTCCTACCAAAGGCACACCCGACCCTCAAAAATGCCCGAGGTCGGAAATAGTAGTTTTCTTTGGATAAGTGCCATCGTCTCCGGGGATACTTTGCGCCCTAAGAGACGTAGGGTAACTATTTTTTCTACCAAGGGCACACCAGTCTCTTAAAAACGCCTGATGTAGAAAAATTTCATTATTTAGTTTTCGATAATATTCTTTCTTCAGACAAGTTTTCCGTTTATTTTACCCGTATTTTTTGTTATGAGACGTCATTTTTAACGTTAATCAATACATTTCGATTTTTCAGATAACGGTTTCTTCATGTCGAATGGTTTTCAGATAATTAACCATTTGCTGAACTTGTATTCGGTAAAGTGAATCTACGGAAAACCTTCTGTGAATTAACCGTCGAGTAAAATTAATTTTTGGATAAATAAGTAGGGGTGAAAGGGAGTATTATTGCGATTTTTTTAGTAGTTAGCTTTAGACGTTTGAGAAAGAGGTTATGTGTGCACCAGTTATTGCAAACGTTATTTTTTGTTATACAAATGTAAAGTTTTTAAGGCTATTTTGAAACTGAAGTTCAATGAATTAGGTACTCTATAACTTGATTTAATGATTTTAAGTGTTGACTCACCATAACTCATCAGTTCAATTAAAATATACGCATTATTCGAGAGTAGCGCAATAATTGAAGCAACCGCAATGATACCCTCCTTTACCGCTATTCGATTAAATAATTTTTGACTAACATGTTTTTTGGCTGGATTGTCATCAGTTTATAACACATGCGGAAAGTTAGTTTTCCTCGAAATAACTTACGGTTTTACGGTCTTCCGTGTTTTGGTTTTTGGTTATTGGAAGTATCAGAAAAATGATTGACACTTAATTTTTTTATTTATTAAATTTATTAACATTAGTAAAGGAAATAACTGTTCTTTTATGACTCAAGAGGTTTGCACACCATTTCTATTGTATTTGTTGATAACTTAAACAAATGCTTCACGTTAATAATTTGTTCGCAACTCTATTACTAGTTAACTTAATTTTTCCATATAAATAGCTGTAATTCGAAAAAAAGTAATGTCACACAATTTTACCATTTTAAGAATTTGACAACATAATTTAAAGTTAAAAGAAAAAACTTAGAAAATCAGATAGCAGATGAAAAAAATTTTCCATGGTTTTCATTTTTCTTTTCACATATAGTGAAGATGCATGATTTTCGTTTGTAATTGGAATTATGTTGAATGCAACAATTATTTACATATTAAATCATGTTACAGAGCTTTGATGTCCACAAAATCAGATGAATAAAATAAAATAACCTTAATTATTTCACAGACTGCCTTTGATAGTATCTGTGAACACAAGCCTCATTTAACTCAACAACCTGGTTAATTATTAATCATACATTGATGCTTAAGCAAAAAATCGTTTAAAAAAGGTGTAACCGAGATAAAATAACTTATTATTAAACTATTTTTATGTAGCAAACAATGTTTCGCATTGAAAGACCCAAATATATTATTTGTTCAACTTTGTTTTGAGTATTTTTTTACAAATTAACTGAGTCAAATATTTAATGCAAAATTTTTTAAGTGAGTACCTCATTTTTTAAATCTATTTTTATTTACTATGTACAAAAACCTTAAGCATGGTGTGCACGCCACTTATGACTCAACAAATGACACATTAGGGGTCTTTAAATGCGAGTCTTCGTTTGCTGGATAAAAATGGAACGATAACAACTTTTTTTGTCTATAAGTTACTTTTTTTCTAAATATCTGGTAAGTCAATGTTTTGGTCAGGTTAGCCTCAGACGACACTACCCGGATAATCTAAGACTTTCTTTACTATCCCAGTCTTGGATTAATATACACTGTGATAGTATCCATATACGAGTTCCTCTGTAGGTGCGTATCTTGACACACACATATACACGCGCGCGCGCGCGCTTGAGCATAAATATATAATAGTTAATTCTAAGAAATGTGCCCACTATGCATTGAGTTACTGTGCATATATATGCTATCGTCATTGGCATAGTGAAAAAACACCTCAGATTTAATTGTGACATTAATCACTCAAACATCAAAGGGGCCTTTATTTTACATGGCTTTCGAACCATCGGACCATGGTTCGAAATACGCACATGAGAAAGTAGATTCTCAGAGATGCAAGCCAAGTGACTAAAGGCCAGGTCTCGAACTTGTGAGCATGCGTTAAAAAGCCCCCCCCCCTCCCGAGCTATAAGAACTGCAGCTTAAGCCACTAGGCTACCGTTGCCGGTACGTACGTATAAATCTACTAAAGACATGGCGCTAATTTATATAGTTATTCGAATAAAAACGATGTTACATTTTACAAAACACTCTCGCAAGACTTAATTTTTAGATAATCTAACAGATTTAGACCTTAACTTATCTATTTTATTGTGACTGATATGCTGATTTGTTCCACCTCTTTAATAGTTCATGCTATAATCTATGAGATGGAGTTACCTATGCTACAAAATACGAGTAACGTATCAATACAATGTACTCATGCAGAACTCATTTATACTAATGTAGAGTAATATCAGCAAGACTACGAGAAAGAGAAGTAAAAAAAAGTCTTAAATTAAGATTAAGAAAATTGTTCTCTTTGTAAATTTATGATTTGTGGCCGAAAAATGTGCGATTATAGATTAAAAAATAGCCATAATAAAGCAGAAACAGAAAAGTATATAAATGGAGAGAGGTGAGCTCCCTCCAGTACTGAGAAAAAGTCCTTGATAAAAATACTTTTTAAAACAATGCTTTTACTACTTTAAGGTATGATTATAAAAATGTGAAGATTGAATTCTTTGATACATTTCACAGTAGAAATAACATTTTTAATGATTTTCAAGGTAATTCTCAGTAGTTAATATAAAGTTTTACGTGTACACTTTATCAACAAGTAAGTACTTGAAGTTACAATTAATTGTTTATTAAAAAAAGCGTAGTAAACATAAAATTGTATAGGATGTAGTTTACAAATATACACGTTTACCTTTAAATTTTATACAAGCAATTAAAAAATTTCAAGGATTTTTAGAAAAATATCTTTTACAATATTCTATATCACAAGGTAATAGAGGTACAACGTTTTCCAACAGTTCAACTGCATTTAATTCCTTAAATATTAAGTTACTTGCAAGTCGTTTATCAACACATGTATTATTTTCTAAAGCAACAACAACGCAGTGTGAGGGATCAATCAATGATTCTTCAAAACGCCAATTTTGTTTTTGATTATTAATGTACAAATAAGAATTTGATATTACAGTATTATCTTGCAGCTCAGAGTTAACTTGAAAACTTAGAGTGCGTAAATCTACCGTGAGACCTTTTCCGATAGCCTTAAGGTAACTTTCTTTTAGCGCCCAGTTCCGATAAAAAATGGCAATCTTTTTTTGATTAGGAGAATCACGAATTTTCTGCCATTCTGACTCCGAAAAAATTTTATTCATAGTTTTAAAGTATTCTTCAACTGAAGTTTTCCTATGATATTCTAATTGCATTACGTCAATACCTACTCTTTGGTTTCCCACTTCTCCAGCAAGAACTGTAAATGAGCCATGGTGAGAAACATTAAAACTAACAGTGCATGTGTCACTCATTTTGTAAACAGGTTTATTGTTAGATTCCCTTGAAATTATAATAGAATTGTATGGACGTCCAGTATTCTGGAAAATGAATTTTCTAATCATCAGCCGTCCCGCCAGAGTTGCTTTAACGTCTTTTTTGAAGACAAATTTATCCAATCTATTCTTTTCTTCAATCTGTAAACATGATGACGCCAATAAAAATTCTTGTTTAGATGGTTCCCACTTCGATATATTGAAAGCCCAGCGAGTACTTGACATTTTTTAATGCTTTTAATCCAGCACCTTACATCTTTTACAAGTTCACACTTCAGTTTAATCTGTAATAAATATACAAGTTAACAAGGTTTAATTGGAAAATAACTTTCCGCTTGTAAATACACTATATATTATAAATTTTTGTGTTTCTTTATCACTGGTATAAAAAGTAACATTTGTGATACGTATGTATCATCAAACTTACAGGCTCATGTATGGATGGAGGAACTGTTTCAAGTACTCTCAGTCCATCCATATCCTTTTATGATAGCAAAATATTTTCCAATTGAATTCTGCAAAGTTGAAAGTTATAATTTTAAAGGAATTTTAAATTATTAGAAAGAGTGAAAAAACATTTAAAATCTTTTTGAACTTATAATTTTCGACTTCTTAAAATTTAATTGGAAAAATATCTGTCATCATAAAAAGACATAGATGGACTGAGAGTGCTTGGAGCGGTATTCACGTAATATACGAGCCTATAAATTTGATATATACGTATCACAAATATTGCTTTTTATACCAGTGATAAAGTTACACAAAACCCTGTCAATAAAAATCAGGTGAGATCTCAGCTGAGATTTTTTAAATATGTGTTCTTATTAAAAAAAAAAANTAAATAAATAAAAAATCCACTTTACAGTAGTCAAAGCTGTTCCATTGATAATACCACTTAGATGGTACATAAAAAAACACCTTTAAAAGTGTTTTACGTCAATTTTTAAAAATAAAATAAATAGATTTTATTTTTCTCTTGAAATTTCAGGTGCTTTCACAGATAAGATACGGCATGAGATTCCACCTGAGATTTTAAAAAATTCAATTAATTTTGACGTAAAACACTTTGAAAGACATGTTTTTCGATGTACCATCTAAATGGTACTTCTTATGGAACAGCTTTGAATACTGTAAAACTTATTATTAATTTTTTTTTTAATTACGATACTTTTTATGGAATATCAACTAAGATCTAAAGGGAGTTGTTGGCATGAGATAGTCACCTGAGATCTCTGGTAATATCTCATCTGATTTTCGTTGACAGGAAAACAGTTAAATATTCATGTTATTAAGTCTTATTACGGTATTTTTCAACTAAGGAGTTCATTAACATCAAAGTAATTTTGTGTAAGAATATCATTTACAAGAAATACTAGATTACGATACTAATACAGAGGGGAACGCGGTTGACGTACGTATGTCAGTTCTCATACGAGCACCAGTAAGTGGACAAAGACATGCGTGTGCCAGTCAAGTAACCCCTCACATGTGTGGTACATATAACTTTTTGACCTAACGTACTCGAGGAAATCGATAAAAAGCCACAACAGATGACTTTAAATTAAGTTTCCTACGCACGGCGTGACAAAAACTTTCATCTGTGGCGTATTTTCATTTTCGATTTAAGTTAGTATAAGTACTTCAGATTAAATTTCATAAACAAGTGTAGCAAAAGTTTACTGCTACATAGAAAGAGCTTTAAACTATGATACTAGTAGCACAGTACTTGCATGTATGTTGACAATTAAAAAATAAACGTATGAGAAACTAATGCATGGCTTCAGTCCAATAATCCCTTGGGACAATTATTTTTAATATAACAATATTTATTTACCTATAAAATAAATTCATTCTTATACACCAAATAAATACTGTTTCATTTTTTATGGACTGATGAGCAAGTGTTGTAAGTATTCTTGTTAATACGATTATTTTTTTTATTGTTTATCATTTGAAGCACTGTTATACTCGCTAAGTAATGGTGTTTATTTGTACTGATATATTGGTAAAAAGGATGATAGAATCTTTTTAAAAGATAATCAAATAATCCTAACAGGGTGTGTGTAGTAATTTATAAAACTGTTTTTTATACCATTAAAGTACGATATATTATAGATCTATGCTTAAGCTTAACAATTTGGTAACAAAGACAGTAGTTTGAGTATATTCAATGCTAGATAAGTGTGTAACATGTATAACAGTTCATTCAAATACTTCGTAAGTAAAAATTTTAAGCTAGCTATGAAAGTTAACTCAGGTGACGGGATAATAAGACAGCTAACTACATCAATTTCATGAATATTAAAAATTCTAGTGGCCTCCGCGTCTCGACTTTGTCGAAGATTTTCTAAGTGGAGCACCTTAGTGTGTTGACGTGTAATGTAAAACATTTTTAATAAATGAAGATGAAACATTTTGAGTTTAAAATTTTTCATGTTTTTTTGACACTTCTTAGAATAAAAATTTCTGATTATAAAATTTTTTTTTAGAATTCATGCAGTTTTGGTCGAATAATAAGCTGTAAGAATAGCATTGTCAAATATATATATATATATATAACGATGATGTTAAAAGGTACAGTGCGTTTTTTACGCCCTAAAAGAGTTATGAGCCAAAAAAATGCCGTTGATTTACACTTTTTCATGTTGTACCGTATAAAAAGGGCTATTTGTTAGAGCTAGAAAAATTAAAAACTGATAAAAAATATATAATACGTATGTCAGTTCTCATACGAGCACCAGTAAGTGGACAAAGACATGCGTGTGCCAGTCAAGTAACCCCTCACATGTGTGGTACATATAACTTTTTGACCTAACGTACTCGAGGAAATCGATAAAAAGCCACAACAGATGACTTTAAATTAAGTTTCCTACGCACGGCGTGACAAAAACTTTCATCTGTGGCGTATTTTCATTTTCGATTTAAGTTAGTATAAGTACTTCAGATTAAATTTCATAAACAAGTGTAGCAAAAGTTTACTGCTACATAGAAAGAGCTTTAAACTATGATACTAGTAGCACAGTACTTGCATGTATGTTGACAATTAAAAAATAAACGTATGAGAAACTAATGCATGGCTTCAGTCCAATAATCCCTTGGGACAATTATTTTTAATATAACAATATTTATTTACCTATAAAATAAATTCATTCTTATACACCAAATAAATACTGTTTCATTTTTTATGGACTGATGAGCAAGTGTTGTAAGTATTCTTGTTAATACGATTATTTTTTTTATTGTTTATCATTTGAAGCACTGTTATACTCGCTAAGTAATGGTGTTTATTTGTACTGATATATTGGTAAAAAGGATGATAGAATCTTTTTAAAAGATAATCAAATAATCCTAACAGGGTGTGTGTAGTAATTTATAAAACTGTTTTTTATACCATTAAAGTACGATATATTATAGATCTATGCTTAAGCTTAACAATTTGGTAACAAAGACAGTAGTTTGAGTATATTCAATGCTAGATAAGTGTGTAACATGTATAACAGTTCATTCAAATACTTCGTAAGTAAAAATTTTAAGCTAGCTATGAAAGTTAACTCAGGTGACGGGATAATAAGACAGCTAACTACATCAATTTCATGAATATTAAAAATTCTAGT